TTTGTGCCTCTTATTTCTAACAAGATGACAAAATCTCAAAAATTTTCTTTTTATTTCTATTTAATATTAAGATCTTTTCCATAAGTCACCTTCATTCTTTTTAAACTATCATCACTACACTAACAGCTATACTATTCATTCAACATCTTACACACAGTATGTATGTTGGTGTATCCTGCTTACACTGTAGAAGGCAGACATTATTTTAAATACTGGAGTCTAAGACTAATCATTTACAATTTTACATGACTCACTTGCCAAAAGCATGTAATCCTTTAGTATTCAGCAGTAACAGAAATCAGTGACAGATAATTGCTAAAGAAAAAAAATCCTCATTTTTAGCTAAAATACCAAATTCTCTTCAGCTTTGGACAAAATTTTGTCTCTATGTTCCCCTCTCCCTGCTTCCTTAGGCTGATGATAAGCATACATTTTTAGGATAAAAGCTTATCTGCATGAGATAGTTTCATGTAAAAAACATTGCCAGTTCCCTGTCAAAATAACAAGAACTTGCCATACAAAAGAATAAAATTTGTTCTCACATTTTTATCAGCTTCTCTGGTGCTTGTATTGACCAATTATTCACTGAGGTTTTTTTTCCCTGAGTTACCTGATTGCACAAATGATGATTTTAAAAGTCCTAGATATTTAAAACTTTATGAACTTACCATCATGGGCTTAAAAACATTCAGTTCAAAGTGTCCATTGCTACCTCCTACAGTAACAGCAACATGGTTTCCCATAACTTGGGCTGCGACCATGGTTACAGCTTCACACTGGGTAGGGTTTACTTTTCCTGGTTGTGGAAGGGAGAGAAAAAGGTAACCAAAGAAGGAAAAAAAAAAACCCATCAGCACTTCCCTCATTTACCAAATGGGCTGCGACCATGGTTACAGCTTCACACTGGGTAGGGTTTACTTTTCCTGGTTGTGGAAGGGAGAGAAAAAGGTTACCAAAGAAGGAAAAAAAAAACCCATCAGCACTTCCCTCGTTTACCAAATCACACCCAACAGAAGATGTTTCATAGGAGGTAACATGTCTTACTCATCTGTATCTGTGCACCACAGAAAAGAAATAATTGCCATAAATGATATTAAATTCACTGTACTATTCCAGTAATTCAGCTAGGATTTTTAAAGCAGCTATGGCTGCTTTAGCAATCTACCAAGATTTTGAGAGCTGGATAAAATGTGCATGAGCTAAGCAGCTGTTAATTGCTATGGTTCTTAATAGTCAAGAGATTATAACCTGTCTTTATTCGTGTAAGTAAGCATTTCTGATAAATCATTACCAAATCTCAGTCAACTTAAGAAAAGTATTACTAATTTGTTAGAATTACTTTGTAATAAAATTAATTCACTTTGTTTACTTTATCAGGAGAAAAAAACAACCAAACAAATTAGAGTGACCTCCTAACAAGAAAGTTTTATGGTTGCTTTCATTTCTAGAAATAATCCTAATAAGAACATTCATTATCTGCTTTTTTGAAAGCCAGATATGCTCACGACCAGTTTCTTTTATAATTTATCACACAGGAAGAATATGCTTAGAACAGTTTTGGATGTACAATATTCACATACACATACTTTCTTTAGGAGGGAGGCGCGGAATGATTACTAATATTATTCCTTCCTTTCTTATCCTCGCATACACTGGGATCATTGCAGAGGAGAACATGTGAGTACATAACGCTAATCTATGTTCTATGCTAAGAAGACAGAAGTCAATTTACATCATGATATTGCTACAATTCATAAAAGCTTGTTTCACCAAAGTCTTTACACAAAAATTGTAGAGAACTTGCAATTCTAAAAGAAGGTTTTGAGAAGTATACTTGTATTAATAAAGTCATATTATATGTTTACAGATACTATTCTCCACCAAATACTTCGCAATGAACAGCTGTGCAAGCAAGTATTTTTAGAAACACAAATTTTGGTAAAATATGGCAGAAGATAAAAACTGACAGAAGTGTTGAATCATGGACTTACTGACATTTGTTTGGTTAAGTATCTGTTAAGAGTTAACAGTCCAAAACAAAAGAAACAGGCAATTTTTCTCGGTATGTTTTCTCTGTACCTGGCATGATGCTGCTTCCTGGTTCATTTTCAGGCAGAATGAGTTCTCCTAGTCCAGAGCGTGGTCCAGAACCCAGGAAACGAATATCATTAGCTATTTTCATCAGACTACATGCCACTGTGTTCATAGCTCCACTGAGTTCAACTAGAGCATCATGAGCCGCAAGAGCTTCAAACTTATTCGGAGCAGTGACAAAAGGCAAACCTACAGGGAGAGCAGGAAATATTAAACCAGTGAGGCACTTCCTTGCAGACATAAACCAGATAATCAAACACATAATTAGCTTAATAAATAAAAAAATAATAATGACACTGTAAGATCATCTCTCTTCTCTAGACCTTTCCTCACAAACATATTTCTTAAACAGACTAAATTTAATACAAAAGACACAACAGAAGTCACTAAAATGTGAAAGAATATGAAATTGGCCCATCTACTCACAACAAAGGTACAAATTTCAAGCTTTCATACTGTGTTGCATACTAAGCATTGCTTTGCAACACAGTACTTTGTGAATGTCAAGAATCCCTTACAAGTTAGCCCAAACTTAAGTATTTCTTCCATTAAATCAAGTTAGATTCTTTAGATTGTCAGTTGCCAGGATGCTTTCTCCCATTTATGAAAATTGAGGTTTTTGCAGCACAGTGCAGACATTAGGATAAATAAAAAGTAATCACAATGGAATTAGCTGCTTAAAGAAAAAAGATGCATCCAAGTATCAGCACTGGAAGGGAACAACAAACCAGACAGAACATGTGCAAGCTGATTCAGACTTAGGAGGATGACTGAAACTGCTGCCAACAGCAAGAACACAGGAGCAATTGAAGCAACAGCGCTGTTTACATTAATTAAATGCCTGAAATTTAACGCTAGGTTCCATAATGAAAAACATTTCTTCAGGGCTTTGCCCTGGAAGAAAAGTCTCAGCAGAATTTTATTAATGGTAATAGACATCACTAAGGACTGACGGTGGGCTGGACTTCTGCCCCACAAAACTACTGGTCTGAGCTTACATTGCCAGTTCAAACGAGCAGCATAACCCCATAATTTCTAGTGTTCTGCAGTTCCTGCCAAACACCAAATCCCACCCAATTTCGCACAGGCTTCTGAATTGCATAGCTGCCTTCTCAGTTGCAGAGATCATTCCAAACTTTCCCTATTGCCTTTGCCAATAAATTTCCCCTGTACGAACATGTGGAACTTCAATAGTCCGTTTAAAACAATACTTGTGTTAAACTTGTACAACCTGCCCATATGGTACACCTAACAAACGTTAAGACGGGAGAGCTTCCTAACACCACCAATGGCTCCTTCAAGTCCCAAAACAAGGCCTGTACTGCTTCTCAGCAGCTGTTGCTTATGACAAGTTACTTCTTCCCTCTCAGGATACAAGAAAGTCTTGACCCTCTACAAGACAGTGAATAATAGATCCATTAAAACAAAACTATTGTTCTTAAGCAGTTTCAGATTTTACAGCAAATTTAAATGACAGACATACATTTTGTGGGTATTTTAAAAACTGATACTGTGACACAGAAGACCTGGTTTACGGATCAAAAAACTCAATGGCTCTGTAAATTAAGTTTTAAGACCTATAAAGACAGCATCAAAAAATCAGACAGCTAACTTTTTACTCTTTCACATGAAAAAACATAGTGGCTTTGGGAGGGTTTTTTCCCCTTCTTTTGTGCCAAGTCACTGTAGATTAAGAGAGCCAGAGGAGCAAAGATCAAGACAGAAGCATTATAGCTGGGCTAATAATAGAAGCCTGAAACTGCATCCATCTCCAATAAGCCCTGCTCAGAAGAACATGGTAATTTCAGTCACTTTCAATGCACTGAGTATAATTATAAAAATACATTGCATGAAAAATCTTAAGTACAAGGCATATAACATACGGCATTAACAGAAAGTTTCACGTTAAAATATAAATACAATTTGAGCTTATGAGAAGTACAGAAACTGAAAAATTTAGTTTGAATTTCACTGTATGTTCATATACTGCTTTACTGATAACTCCGAAATAATCATTCCTCACCCGTCAGTTCAGCCACTTTAGCAGCAACTTTCTCAGCAAAGCCAATTCTTGTGTTTAATCCTGTACCAACTGCAGTCCCGCCAGCTGCCAGCTGATACACTCTTGGCATGGTTGATTCAATCCTAGCCACACCATATTTAATTTGTTGCACATAGCCACTAAATTCCTTTGAAAGAAAGGAGGACAAAATAAAGGAACAAAGACAACAACCAAGAATAAGCACCTAGAATTATTTAGATTTTTGATTGGACTAATTTCTTCAAAAACCTGAAGGCACTGAACTTTACCCAAATGCTAAATCTTAACATGTCTTCATTAAGAGGGAAAGTTTACATATATTAGAAGACTGCTTTCACACTACAAACAATTACACATAAAAACAACCTACATATATAAAAATGTAAACACAACACATCTTTCTCTTGCCTTTTACCTCAGTTGTGTACTTAGCAGGATCCGAATCCAAGGTAAATCAGCTCTCAGATTAAACTAATGTGCTCAAGGTACAATTAGAGAAACAGATCTTGGGCTTTGTTCACTTAATTTTAGTTAGTAAAAACCCCACCTATGCATTCTTGGAAAAAATCCACAAATTTTACATGGATTTTTATCAATTCAGTTTAAGCTAATTCATTACCAAATTAATGTAACATAAGCCATTCTTGACAATATGATAACAAAGATTTGCTATCGTATATATATGATCATATAGAAAAGATTTTTGTTCAAAATACTTAGTAGTTTTCTGTGTTGGTAAAACCTCATTTATATAAGCTTACAGATTACAGACTACCTACCTTCTTCCTTCCAATGTCAGCGTAACAGAAATATCACGTTGTGTTATTTGGTAATGGAACATCTTTTAAAAATCATTTATATCTTACTAGTGTTAGAAGTAAAACACACATGGGAAAAAATTAAGAAAATTGATGATGCAGTTATTGGAGTACAGCATCCAGCAAACTCCAATAAAGATGAAAGTACTCTGACTGAGATTCAGCCACTCTCCTATAATTTCTCTTAAAACTATCAACTTAATTTAGGTGTCCTCAAGTTTGCCTCAGTTTCCTCCAATATATTTACAAGAAATTTCCAAACAAAAGCATAATTTGTTTTTTTTTTACCTGTCCAAGCGTAAGTGGAACAGCATCTTGTGTATGAGTGCGCCCTATTTTTATGATTTGGGAAAATTCTTTGGATTTTGCTTCAAGTGCATTCTGTAGCTTCTTTAGTCCAGGTAACAACACCTCATTAACCTCCTGGGCAGCAGCAATATGCATTGCCGTTGGGAAAGTGTCGTTTGAACTCTGTGAAGGAAGTTCAAGAAATTTATTTACAAGCTTTTCTCACCATTGTTGCTGTAAGAGGTACATGTGTGGCTTTATTCTCTTTATTTTATAAACAAGAAGAAACTAAACTAAGAGTAAGCAAATTAGGAATGTTCCACAAGTCAATCTGCAGGAATAATCAAATCTTCCAAATTCCAGTCCAGCACCTTATTGATAAAATCAACTTTTTATAACTATACCCACAGAAAGTTAACTTGAGTAGATTGTTCACAACAACATTGGGACAAAAAAAAAAAGAATTACTATAGTAGTTATGAGAGACAGGTAACAAATGGATGGATGATTTTAAAAGAATTGTAGGTGACTTTAAAACACCTATGTGTTGCTTTGATGTTAAATCCATAGTTCCCAGGATATTGAGTAATCACAAAAGATCAGCAAGGGATATAACCAAGTCAGTGGCTTAAACTTCAGTTAATCTGAAGGAAATATTAAGAGTGAAGTATAATAAAAAGGCCTACCACGATCCTTGGGGAAAAATTAACCCAAGTTAAATGACTTTAGCCATTTTTTTTTTTTTTCTACATGCTTTATGTAATGCATTATGGAGATAACAGTTGTAAGTATCCAACCTTTAGAAACTGGATCTATATTTAACTTCTTTAAGACTGTGTCAGTAGCAGTGGTTGTCACCAGGCCACGTCTGCCCACTACCTCATGTGTGAATTCATCTGTCATGAATGAGTTCAAAATTTTTAATCTAAAAAGCTCATGCTGTCACTGACCAACATTTTAAAGTTCATTTAAATTGAAAAACCTGGAAAATTGCTGCCCAAGCTGTACACAAAACTCCTTTTTTTTTTTTTTTTTAAATCTAAACAGTGGCTATAAGAGAATTCAAAATTCACAATTAAAAAACATACTTTTGACATTAAAAGTAGTACAATACAACTATAATGACCTGGCTTTTGTTAACATGATCATTCGGATGTACTGGGTTTTTGCTCCCCAGTTTGCCCCCCATTATCTCAATAGCTCTATTGCTGATGACTTCATTGACATTCATATTGGTTTGAGTTCCAGACCCAGTCTGCCACACCACCAATGGGAAGTGATCATTTAATTTTCCTTCAGCTACCTATAATGGAAAAAGAGAGAGAAAAGTTGTTCTACTGGAACAAAAAAAAAAAAAAAAAAAAGGCATAAACTTGAGAATTTTATAGCTAAAATTCAAATAATGTTCTCCATTATATTTGTAAATTTACATATAACAATTGTGAATTTATACCAGAATAATTAAAGAGTTTGATGTAATACCAGATATTAAAAGGGCAAAAACTTTTGCTATGCTTTTTGAAGATGCTGAATTCTTAAACACAGAGAAATACATTTGATTTCATGTTCTGCAGTCATTGAAAGAAAAGATTTTTAAAAGGTACTTTGGGTTATATCTTCTGTTTCCCAAACAATGCAGATGATTTTGTAAGTCCAAAAACATCCCCCCCTTCCCAAATTTTAAAGCAATTCAGATTCTAATCTTCCTGGGTAGGACTAGAGGTAGTACGTGCTGGTTCTCCCTTCCACAGTTATTTGCTCAGCTTAGTAAGATCTCCCAGGGAAGGAAAATATGTTAAGTAGTTTCTCAACCAGAGCATGTAAGGTGCTTCAAGGTACTAATTCAGTGTTGTGTGCCTCCTTGGGTCATGACCACCCTTTGGGTGTCAGAAACAGCAGTTTTCGGACAGCACTTACCTGTTTACAAACTCCTCATCAGCACGGATGCACTGCTTTCTCCTAGGAAATCAAGCTCAACAGCTGCACAGTTTTATCATGAACACTGATCACAACTATACAACAATCTGAATTAGCGGAATTCAGAAGTCCATTCCTTATGGCAAAGAGTCCCCCAGAAGAAGTGTTTTTGCCAAAGGTCATCTGTCATGCACATGCAGTACATGACATCTGCAAGATTGGACTCTGAAATTTCTCCAGAAATAAATTTCATACAGGGAAGTTCCAGACCTCTTATACCTGTGGACATTAGATTTTGCATCAACACAATGAGCCAGCGGATGGTTGCTGGTATCAAACACCTTCTTCCTGTAAGGCAAGCTTTCCCTAATACCGCCCTGGACCTACATGGCTTTAAATTGAGAGGTGCCTAAAAAGGACTCGTGACTGTCTTTACTGTACCTGAACTGTAACTGAATATGTTACACATATAAACAAGTAAGAGAACCACATGGACTTAAAAAGATTCATACGTACTGACTTGCTGATTACCCATGGGAACAAGGTCCTGATCAGCCAAAAATGACTATACCAACTTACATCTTCTGTAGGTAGGCTATGACAACTACTATCTCAAATCAAAACAGAACAACAGGTACAAATAGTCTCCTGTTTGATCTACATTTTTTGGAGCCTGTTGAGCCTTAGATGCATTTAGAGATTATTGTAAATGTGTGTTTGTGATAGTATCAAAACCCGTGCTCAGAAGTATCACCACCACACATACTAGCCTCAGAAAAATTGAGAATGCAAAGCAAAGGATCGTTGTCACAACTCTGAGGCTAGACAACTATCTCCAGATTATCAGGATACATCAGTCCTCCTAGAATTATGCTTTTCAGGGAAGAATCTTATGTATTTCCCATCTTATACAGAGGCAAAGTTCCCACCTCCAAGAGTAACTTGATTCCTTGCTGTCTCTCTTTCTTTTTCAGTTATATTAGAAAATTATTTTGGAGGTAAGGGAAAGGCTATTACTGCAGGAGTGTTTTTAAAACACAACAAAAAAGCCCCAAACAACTTTCAGAACCCACGAATCTAAACTAAGTAGCCTTTAGCCACCAAAACTTCGGATCCACCTTTAACTAGGAGAACCCTAGAAACCACAAGCAGAGACTGGACATATTCTGGAGTCCTCCAAAGCTCTTGGGTCTTGGGACTTATGGTGCTACAGTTGGTAGAAAGAAGATAAGGCTTCTGCAAATACTGAAATGTTTTGAAGCTAGTCAGACCAAGAAAGCTCTGTAAAACAATGCTTCTAGGTAAATAATCTGTTGATTTACACAAAGCAACACATCTGATATTACCATACTTCAAATAATGATCATTCAAAACTCTGTGCACTTGGGTGGCATTTATCCTGAGAAAGAGGAGATGCCTCTGTGTGTCACATCATATCCTCTTTAGCTATAAAAGTGATACTTAAAAAGCACAGATTTACTAGTAAGCTTAAGTCTGAAGAAGAAATAGACTAGTAACAGAGAAACTATTCAGATTGCAGATGGTCTTCACATTACCAAGATGCAATTGCTTAACAGATTGGAGACTTCCAAAACGAAAAAGCTTTGCTTGGCATGTCAGACTTCACATTAGCTGAATGAACTGAGATTCCATTCCCCTCCTAGGTTTTTTTATACCATTCATCTGGTAAGAGTCAGCACTATGCAAGTAATGAGTAGTCTTAATAGAGGGGAAAAATCAGATTGTTTTTATAACTTAAGTATCAAAATGTATTTGAACATTTTGTCACTTCTATAAATGTAAAAAGTAAAATAGTAAAACATTATATTAAGTACATGATTTCTCACTCTGAAAACAAAATTTACTAACAAAAATACAATGACAGTTCTAGTATTTTGAACAGTTTGTTCCTACCTCATTTGCTGCCTTTACAATAGCATTAGCAATCTTTGGGTCGAGACCGTAATCTTGATTTACTTCAGCAGCTGCTCTCTTCAAGATGCCAAAAGCCCTTATAACTTGAACCTGAGACACAAGAGTAAGTTTAAATATGTAATTCCCCCCCCCCCAAAGGACATTTTAGGAACCTATAGTGCAGGTCTAGTTCTAAACCAAACTTCTGAACTTAAATCCAGGAGTAGCCCATCAACCAAACAGAAGAGCAATCAGGTCACGTGACCTGTGCTCCCATTAACAGTAATATTTATCCAAGCAGTCCAGAAAGCAGAACACAGCTCATTCTTTCTCTGTAAGTCCAGATATGCTTTGTGCATTGAAAAAGATTACATGCAATAAAATGAACAGAAAAGGAGAACTGGCTCTATTTCTAAAATAGCCTTTTTGAGGGCAAACTGACATATGTTTCAGCACATGCAAAACCAGTGCATGACAAAGTGCATGCACACTAATGCTCTATGCACAGCTTCACGTGAAAAAGTAACTTTGTATCAACTCATGCTACACTGAACATCTTCAATAACAAACTGCATAACGCTATAGCAAACAAATTATTCCACTCAGTCTTTCATCTCCAGAAAAATGAAAGATAGATTTCTATTCATCCTGGTTATTAAAAAAAATTAAGCAACACAATAAAATAATTATTCAAAAGCAACATTCAATTTATTCAAATGCACCAAAAAATATTTCTACCACAGAACAATATATTGCCATGGAATTTCTAACTTTAAAACTCTAAGTTGCTCATATTCCCAGCAAAAGTCTAAAAAGAAGGTATTCACTCTCACATCCAAAACATACTTAAAGAGAAAAAAACATGAACACAGCTTTAAATGACTTACTGGCATTCTTTCTGAAACACCTCCAATCTTAAAGTTCATTGTAGATCTTACAGTCTGGGCACCATAGTATCTGTCACTTGGGACCTTCAATTCACCAAATGTATCATATTCTATCCTAAAAGCCTCTTGAGTGGACTATAGAAAAGGAAAAAAATGTATTTCAAACACTGGTAAACAGCACAACCTTTTTGAAAGCAGACACAGTTAAGAAAAAAGGTGCAAGAAGGGGGAAAAACCCAAAACAAAGACACACAGCTAGTCATAGGTAACTTTGAAGATGTAATCAGAAGAATAAGACATTTTTCTAGTTTCAGCACCTGTCTCACTAAAAGTCACAACTACTAACATTATGTAGCCTACCAGACCCACCGGTGACAGGCAGCATTGCAAGACTTAAGACCTCAGCTGCCCACTGTATGAAACGTCATCCTGACAAAAGACTCAGTTTCTTCTTTTCAAAGAATTAGTAACTTATCTTACAATTTACAGAATTGGTGTTTTTTAAAACCAAACTGAAGAACTAGTATGGTAAGAATTCAGCTGGCATCCGCCCAGGCAACATACATGTAACACAATCACTATTTGAAATCCACACTGCACATGGGACAGAAGAAAAATACTGGAAGGGAGCAACTGACTAATTCAGTACCAAGTTACTGACACTTGATTATCTTCTTAAGCCTAATAAACCAGCAATACAGTTGCCCTAGCTGTGCAACAGGAAGAAACTGCATCTAGTTATATTTTGTGCAATATTTCTGTAAGGCAATATTTCTGTATCACATAAACACCTAGCATGCATTATTATCTAACACAGCCAGAGGTAAATTAATTTTAGCTGACCTACACCAACTAAAAAGTAAATTTTTACTTTTTGTGAAACAACCCATTCATTTGTGATGATGTGATCACATTCACACACAGCTCTACAAAGATTATGGGACTGGACAGGAAGCGAGAGCAGTTCACTCTTCCTCTCCCCACTCTTTGGTCAGCAAAGTCCCAATTTTCTTTGAGAAAGGTGTTCATTCTTCCCCAGAAGAGGAGATTACCTTCTTGCAGAGTCTTCGGGAAGGGGAAGAAATCTTTTTTAATTCTTAATCATAGATGGAGTAAAACAATCCCAGCTCCATAGGCAGAGTATATACCTATACAATGCCAGGCTCTGACCTATCCATGACCCTCAAGGGTGAGTCCTTGGGAGAGCTCTATCATAGAATCATAGAGTAGTTTGGATTGGAAGGGACCTTTAAAGATCATCTAGTCCAACCCCCCTGCAATGAGCATCAAGTCAGTGCATCAATCAGAGCATCAACTCAGCGTTGCAGCGCAGTGAAAGAAAATCAAATGTTAGGAACTGTTAAGAAAAGCAGAGGATACAAGAAGAAACATCGCTGTGTCATGATGGTTCATCTGCACTTTGAAGTCTTTGTGCAGATTTGATTCTTTCATCCCAAAAAGCGTATTGTTGGAAACAGTTCAAAGAAAGGCAATAAGGCCTAAGGTAGGGAACAGCTTCTTAAGGCGGCTAAATTTTTCATTCAGAAAAGAGACAACTTGGGGTTTGAAGGAAAACTGAGGTCAATAAAAGCATCAGTAGCCGGGCAATGGGTGTTAGCTGCTGTCTCTTCCAATACAAGAAACAGAAGCCATAACATTGGGCTAGTAGGAGTCAGGTTCAAAGCCAGCAAAAGGAAGCAGCTCTTCACACAAGTAGCAGACTGACAAAACTCACTGCCAGCTGATGCTACGGATGCAAGAAGCCCGCACGAGTTCAGGGAAAGCGAGATAAGCACTCAGAAGCGAGATCTAAACTGGGTTATTATGCAGACAAACCACAGACTTAGGAAATCCCCTGATGTGAAAACGAGGAATCTGGGTCAGAGTAACAGGAAAGCATCGTATATGTTTGCACAGTTCTCACTCTTCCCTAGGTGTCCACTTCTGAAGTCAGACTGTTCCTCTCTTTTCTTGGTCCATTTTACTTGCTCCTTGCTTGGTGGGTCTCAGTCTTCTTGGACAGGAGCACAGTTGGGTATTGGGCAGAACACCCTCACCAGCAACACTGGCTTTCTGCAGCAGCCTGTCCAGGTCTGCATCACCATGGATGGCAAGCTGCAAGTGATAGTTCCAGCCTTTTTACTGTCCTAAGTGGCATTCCCAGCCAGGTGGAGACACTCTGCCATCAGGTACTCCAGCAGTCACATACCGGAGACGCCAGTCCCACTCACTTAGGGCACTTTCGCAGAGTAGGTGGTGCACGTGACCAAACAAAAACTGCAGCCCAGCCCACAAACAGCAAGGGTTAGCTCTTGCTGTCCCACTCCCCACACCCTGTGTTTTGGCTGATGCTCTCCCAGACACTGACCCCAGAAGAATACAAAGCTTAGCGTGGACCAGTATGCCATTCCTATATTCTTTAATCCTCTTTATCCTATTTTAATCACTTAGCATTCATTTACACGCTAACAAGAAAGAGAATATACTCAGCACTTACTTAGTATCTTACTACCAAAAGTGTTTAATGGGGATGCTTGTTACTGTATGTGTGCATATACTAAGATTCCAACAGTAGATATCATTGATGCACAGTCTCTGAAATCCCTGCTTCTGCTATCTGGACACCTCGTGTAAGCAGAGAATGTCAAGCTTTTCCTCGAGCCGGATAAGCAGAACCAATTCCATTTCCATGCCCAGCTCTTGATATTGTGGTTCAATCACCAGAAGTATCCATACTCAAACAATATAAAAAAGTTAAAACTACCTGTAACCTTTTAGACAAAAAAGCTAGCAGTTGTACAATTGATTCCTCAAACGTACATAATTCCAATGTCAACAATGGTGAAACAAAGGTAAATAGGATCATATCTCCTCGTACAAGTACCTTTTAACAAATAAATCCTGTTAGTAAAAAAAATTACTTCCCTAGCCAATTCCACATTACACACATTCACAAACTCCAATGAAGTTAACACGGTAAACTGCTTTAAGCTGAATGTCATTTGCTGATTAACAGAGTAAAAAGTAACATTAGGAAAAAAAGCAAAGTGATTTTTTTCATACATATTAAAAGTAACTAAACTAACTTCATCACTACTTTCGGACTAATGTAGCAGCCTGCAGAATGCACTGTCTGAATTTTAATGTAAAAACCATGCTTCTCCCACTCCTTAGATGGAATTCACCCTCTTGAGTGGCTTTATATCCCAGTTCCCATATCTAATGCAGTTTCTGCAGTTGCTCCCTGCCCTAGGGAACCTGCTGTAAAATGGTGCAACAGCAGATCGCTTGTGTCAACCCTCTACTCCCGCACCAATGGGCCATGGGAGGAGACCGAGCAACTCTGCCACAAGCCAAGGCAAACTCCTGTGCCCACTTAGTTTCCATCATAGCTACAGCAAGTCTCAGCTCAGAGCTACTATTCCGCACCTTTACAAAACAATTTTTTTTTTTTTGAAGCCTGACAAGGTGTGCTCTGCCCCCCAAAATCCCAAGAACCCATAGTCCAAAGCTGACAAGAGTTAAGCAAACATAACTGTACCTTTGCCTTGTTGCAGGGAACGAATCAGCTGCAACCCATTGCACCATAACGCACTGGAGATATTCACATGGCAGAACTGCTGCAATAATGTTTCCCATGGAAAATTACATTCTGATTTAAGGATGCAGCAACTTTTGGATACAAGTATTTCAGTTCAAAGAATCATCATTTTTAGCACATGAAAACCAATCTTTAAAGGCCACCAGAAAATGAAATTTGTGCTCAACCGCTCTCCTTTAGCAGATGAATGTTTCCGTTTTTAAGCAGTTTCTCCTTTATAATATCGAGTCACAAATTCTGAAATTTACTCTTTAGAAACCAAAACAAAATATTTTACAACATTCAGCCGAAGAAGGAAAGAACATTATGACCACAATTCCATTTAAAACATCTTGTGCAATTTAGTTAAAGCTAATGACACAATAGTCATACCGTAGGACAACATGCACGTTTGATTGTGTCTACACAAGGTGTTCCAAAACAAACTCTTGCTGCTGAAAAATCTCTGCAAACATCAAAAAGTGGTGGGTTTTTTTTTTTAATTTAAATACTCTTTGGTATTTTTTTTTGTACATTTTCCTTTTAGAAATAAAAACATACAAAGTTTTCCTGTAAGAATTCAAGGGCTGTTTGAGTTCCAAATTCACTGAGGGACATTTTGCTATAACTACTGCTGTTATTTAAACTCAAGCAACTAATAACGCGTATTTACAGGATAGATCATATTTCTGACAGCCAAAGATCAAAACACATATGTTTCTTGTAAGACTGCAGCTCTTCTTAAATACTGGGTCTTCAACAAGTAAATGAAGACCATGATCTATAATGTGTTTCTTGGACGATGCCACAAAAGAAAGATAAAAAAGGGAACTATCTCATAGGCCAATGGTTTATGAGTTACACAACCTGTGTCGGAGCAGACTTTCTTATACAGGTACGTTTCATTCGCCATTTGGAAGCTTAGGTTTTTTATGCTATTTTCTATACCTTAATCAATATCACAGATTGGGAATAAATGTTCTAGTGAATTTTATTAAAAGTATCAAATCCTAAACACCCCACTTTCTGCTGGAATTCTTCCAACAGTCTCACAATACCTCCTTATTTTTAGGAGTGAACTTAGAGAGATGCACCTGAGACCAAGGTTTCCATGCAGCTTCCTAGTTGTTAGTACTGAGATTCAGAGTTCCTTATTTGAACAGCATTTTCATTGCTACATTGAGCCACGTACAACAAACAAGTCCCACTCACGTTTCAGCCTGACAGTCAACTGACTGTACCTGAGTAATAACTGAAGATGCCTGCAAGAGGTCACAAGGCAGTTTCAGCTGAAAGCTCTGTAGTTTTCAGGCAGCCCAAAGATTTTCCAGATACCCCCATTTCTGGGGATACAGCTTTTTCTTATTTGTACCTCAACAGCTGTAAGAAAGGCCCTGAAACTTCCGTGGAAGAAGCCGCTGCATGCCAGAGCTCTGTCACAGCAGGGCCTGCAGTAACACC